GGCCAGTGTGTGCCGTGATTGGTTGGCTGGGCCAGTGTGTGCCGTGATTGGTTGGCTGGGCCAGTGTGTGCTGTGATTGGTTAGCTGGGCCAGTGTGTGCCGTGATTGGTTGGCTGGGCCACTGTGTGTTGTGATTGGCAGCACTCGGCGCCTGGTCAGGAAATGTCACGCCCTTCACCATAGCCGCCTGTGAGCTTCAGTGTAAATATTGCATCAAAATCAATTCGTCTGCCTTGGGAAAGCTAGCGTGTCTCCGACATAGTGATAACACTCAACCAGCTCAACCAGGTCTCGTCCCATTCGTCGATATTTGTGATATCACAAATCCCAGAAAATATGCGTTGTAGTCCAAACGAGTCGTTCGTTGTAGTTTTTGAAAAGTGATTTCTGTTCAATAAAATATCTCCTTTTGAAGTGGACTTTGAGCTTTGTAACTTCGCAGATCTTTTTTTATGCTCAAACACATGGGCGTCGGAACATTGAATGAGGGTGGGACAGGACCCACCCACTTTTGAAGACCAATGATATTGGACCCACCCACTTTTACCGTCTCTCAGCGAATATGTGTACTTTTCAGAGTGCCGTCAGTCAAATCCACTCCACATGACGAATGCCCTAATAAATTAAACTCCATTTAGCTACAGCCTTGAATTCCACTCTGCTGCTTCTTCAAATCCATTCCACTCGGCTCATTCAGAGTCCATATAAATGAAACGCCATTCTGTGTTTTCACTACTTGCACCTGGTGCACAACACAAAAAAATAAAATTACACACATTAAATAACATTTTTTAAAAGATTAAATATCAAAATAAACAATAATACATTGAATCAAAAATCAATGTCAGCGGCTATTTACACCAAGTGCAAATAGACTTGCTATAGATTCCATTTACACTGATAAAATGTTATTTATACTACTTATTTCAAATAGTAGCAATTAGCTGCATCTCAATATTGTAGTAAATGATAAAACAGTATGCAATAATAACGTATTAAGTGTAAATTATAATTTTAATTCAAATTAATAAATGGATGCCACCTTATTGGGACAATAAAGCCCTCCCTACACATACCCTAACCCTAACCCTACCCGATACTTTATTTTCAACTTTTCTATAATTTCCTTAATTTTTATTGAAAATAAATGCCTTTCCGATGCGATACGAGATTTGAAAAGGGAGAAAAAAAAAGTTTGGCAAAAGGCAGATTCGAACTCGGGTCAAAACGTTCACGGCACGTTACACCATCTACGCCACTGGAGCTGTAGTCTGCTGATAGTCTTTTGTTGTGTTGACTAGCCCAATCACACGTAAGTGGGCGGAGTTAGTGTAAATAGCTTCTGTCAACAAGGCGGCTATTGCACTTAGTGTATAGACTCTCTGAAAATCAACACTGATCTGCTGGAGCATTCCAAATTTACAAAGGCACACTCCTGCTTTTTCTGGAGGCGAAGTCGTCAATGAGCTCATCATATGATAATTAAAACATGAATTAGTGTCAATAAACGTTATTAACGTCAACAGCCAAAAAACTTTCACAGGATTATGAATGTAACTACCTGAAAGGGATGCACAGGCTTCATCTTGGCCTTTTTTAATTTTACTTTTCTCTGCGCCGGACTGCTGATGTCTTTTTTCGAGCAGTTGGGGGTTCGGTGCCTTGCTCAAGGGCGCCTCAGTCGTGGTATTGAAGGTGGGAGTATATGGCATATACTCCAGTCAATTTTTTTCTGGGGGAGGACCCACCCACATTTATTTTGCTTCTGACGCCCATGCTCAAACAGCAACATTACAGACCAACTAAAGTTGAACAAGTGAATAAGCACAATAGGACCCCTTTAAAGGAAAAGCGCAACCAAAAATGAAATTTCATGTATCATTTCCTTATGAGACTCTAGCATGTGTTGCTGTATCTTTTCTAACAGGTTGTTCTGGTCATTAGTGGGAATCTGAGTTTTCTGAACTGGTTGACTATAGTTCCCAGTCTGGCTTGTTTCGATGACGCTGCTTTGGTGTTTCTGTTCCGCCGCTCTGGACGAGCCAGACAGACTTTGCTGCAGATTCAGACAGAGGAGGCTTCAGGACTCAAACCTCCGTCCTCGAAAGGTCTTTACATGCTTTACTTACACACACAAATCACTGAATGATCTGTTTGGCTTTGCAAAGTTTTAAATAATAATGAATCACAAGGTATTGCTAACTAAAACAAAAAACATATAAAGCTGAAATAAAATATAAATATTAGATTGAAAAACTTTCAATTAGAAATGTGGCCTTCACTGTAACAATTATTAAAGTACATTTTACACGAAAATACAAGAAAAGTCTTTCTTCTTCAGTGTGTTTGTTCAAGAAACATTTCTGTTTATTATCTTTTTTGAAAACATTGTGTTGTGCCGCCAGATTATTTAGTGGAAACTGTGATGCATTTCATTTTTCAGGATTCACAGATGAATAGAAAGTTCAAAAGAACAGCGTTTATTAGAAATAGATAGTCGCTGTCACTTTTGATCAGTGTGATGCATCCTTGATGATTAAAAGTCTCGGCGTCTTACTGCAGTAGTGTATGTTTCTAATCTGGGCTCGGATTCACTGACTGTTTTTCTCTGACTGTGTCTCTGGTCAGGTATGTTGATCAGGCGTGTGCTGAATGCGTCTCTGGGGATTCTGATAGCGTATCTGAGCGTCCCGGTCGTGATGAACCTGCTGAGCTCCAGACAGATGATGAACACCTCGTTTGATCCCCTGCGGATCGTCAACACGTACGGAGCCTTTGGCAGGTAGCGCATCCATCTCGGTCTGAACGTCGCTCTGTATAAAGCCCATCAGTAGCCAGCAGATGGCAGAGTCTAACCAGCTCACGTGTGTCTCTGGCGCAGTGTCACTAAGGAGCGGACGGAGGTGGTGTTTCAGGGCACGCTGAGCGTCAATCACACTGGAGAGGAGGTTATATGGGAGGAGTATGAGTTCCTGTGTAAACCTGGAGCTCTGGACCGAAGGCCGTGCCTCATCTCGCCGTATCACTACCGGCTGGACTGGCTCATGTGGTTCGCTGCGTTTCAGGTTAAACAGGGAGAGGAGACGCTCTGTATTTTCCAGAAAATGGTCCCAATTGCTTTGTTTGCTGAAAAACAATACAGCTAATGTGAAACATTATTATCATTCTCATTATATATAATGAAACATTATAAACACTATTAACCTTGAGGCTTTTAGCCTTTCTGTTTTCTTGTGTTAAAGGAATAGTTCACCTGATTAGCTGAAAATGTGCTCATCCTTGGGCCATCCGAGGGCCATTTCGTCAAAACAGATTTAGAGAATGTAGCATTGCATCAGTGTCTCAGCAATGGATGCTCTGCAGTGAATGGGTGCCGTCAGAATGAGAGACTAAACAGCTGATAAAAACATCACAGTAATCCACAGCACTCCAGTCCATCAGTTAATGTCTTGAAGACAAAATCTGCGTGTTTGAAAGAAACAAATCCATCATTAAGATGTTTTTAACTAAAATACGAGTCCATGATCCATAATAACGCTTCCTCCAGTGAAAACGTGGTCTGAATCAGGAGAGAAATCTGCACCGTTTACAAGCCAAAACAGCTCTAAACAAATATGAGGCTGGATTGTGACGTGAGAGACTACAGGAGATGGACTTTTTCACTGGAGGAAGCATTTTTGTGGATTGTGGACTCGTATTTTATTTAAAAACATCTTAATGCTGGATTAGTTTCAGCTTTCGTCTTCTCCAGATGTTAACTGATGGATTGGAGTGGTGTGGATTATTGTGTTGTTTTTATCAGCTCTCATTCTGACGGCACCCATTCACTGCAGAGCAT